AGAGCTAGGTGAATTTATTGGACAAACAAGCTGTAGCCAACCTGAACCCTGAAATTTTACATATAGGGTGTAGAGTAATATTTCATGCATATTTTAAGTGTTTTTGGTGAAGCAAGGACTTGTGGGAAAAAATGGAACTTAAGACATTAGTACTGAAACCCAATATAAGCTTTGATGACATACTTAAACTGAAGGACAAACAAAACTTCTGAAGTGACTATGCTAATACATTCTGTAAGATCTTTTTTTTAAAGAACCTAAACCAACTGTTTCCATATAGTGGTAATTACTGCTGGGTTAATGCTACATAAAGCATTTGCATATATTCATTTATATTTGCATATATTCATTTATTCAACACAAGTAAGAACCATAGGATTGGGCTCTAAATGCTTACATACCAACATAAACCAGATGGCTTCCTCAAGAAGTCAACTACATTTCCTGAGTAGTATTTTAACTGAACCTTTTGGAAGAGGCAGATGCTTTCCCTGGGTGCACCCAACAGAAAGTAAAAGTTGTAATGGCCAGATAACCATAACTTAGGAGTGGTTTCTAATACATCCTGCATGTAACCTTTTTATTATCCCAGTTGTGCGTCTAATTAGCATTTGATGTATATAATATAGCGTTCTAGTTATTCCTCTTAAAATTAAGTCTTTTATTGCATCCTTCCTTACCTCCACTACACAGCTCTTTAAACGAAATCCAGGTGTTAACTTGAATCCTCTATAAGAGGGCACTTATTTTTGAACCTGTATTAATGGACAACTCTGGATTATAATTATTGCTGGTATTTATTATATTATATATAATATAAATAAGGAAACTCTTCTTCACTACTGGAAAAAGTAGTACCTGTTTACTATTTTTAAGACAATAAAATTAAGTAAATTGCAAATGTACAGTATCATCTGGTAAAGATATGAATGAGTATATTGAATACAGTGCAGCTCATAAAACTATTGATTTTAATGGCATTCTAACTGGTTTAGGTGGAACTGGGATTGGTATTGGATTCATTAAGTTATGCCTGTCAAAAATCCATAGAAAATCCCTTTTTACTCTCTCCAGATATTGCCATCATTTTTCTGGAGGTTACAGGTTCATGAATAATGCTTTCATTTCAAACCATGCTATTGGAAGATATGAGCAGCAAAACAAATAAGCAGTGACAAAGCAAGTGTTTGGTGAAAGATGTATTTTATTGTTGCAAGGGCAGATAATCCTATAAAAGAGTCAGAAGCCGTAAGCCAGACCTACAATAAGACATAAACCAAGGCACAAAATAAAACATTGTTTCTACACTATGGTTTTCATTAACCCCTTTTATTTCCAAGCATTGCTTCAATATGACAACGCAAAGCCTGAGTTATTTTGTAGAGCTGGACCTCAGGCTTCAAGCAAAGCCAAACCAGGGACCAACCCTCTAACCCTTCTCCCTGTTGAAGCTTAATAGTAAAGGTATGTCTATATGGCAATGTGAAGCTATATTTGTTCCAGTAATCAAGTGAGAGCATTCACAGTTAGTTTCAATCTCTTTCAGTGACACTGAATTATGCTGTATAGATCCTCTATGGGACAGATCCTATTCCATTTATTAGGGACCTAAGTGGATTTAAATGCCTAAATGTGATCCTATTCCATCTTGTTCCCATCCCTGAAAAACTGTTGGTACAAAATTGGATGGGTCCTCTTCCTCCTCCTGGTTTTTTTGTGACTCAGTCTTATGGTAAAGGGACAACCTCTTACCAAAGCAGGTACATTAAGGGATTTCAGGGACTCCAGCAGGGTGGAATAGGATTACACTTAGGCATCTAATAAGCTAGAAAAAGATCTGGCCCTCTGTTCTCTAGAAGTGCCTTTCCATCCCTGCGGGTAGTAAGTAGCATTGCCAGTTCCCATAATGCAGTGTAGACAAAAATGTTTACTTGCTGCCAAACTGAACATAATGCTGAGCTACAATAGGGCATTAGCAACCTACCTTGGCAACTCCAGGTATCCTTGCTAGTGTTGCCCTGTGGAGTCAGGCCAACTCTCAGGATCTCAATATTGTGCTGTTAGACAGGAGGGTGTAACACAATTGCACATATACAAACACACAAATCAATTGGGTGCATACACACACACACTACCAACTCAGGCACATACACATCCAAACCAGCCTAGGCACGTGCATACCTATCACCAATTCAAGCACATACACACTACACACCAAAAATTAGACACCAATCAGTTGTCAATACCCACACATGGATCACTAATTCGTACATCATGCACACGATGACATATATATATGTGTGTATATTCACCAGTTCACACACATACCACCCACCTACACATACACAGAGGTGAGTTCCTAACTTGGATGGTATGGTATGTATGTGTGTGTTTGGGGTACTTGGGATTCCTGAGGGAAGATTAAGGTGAGAGAGAGTGTAAGGAGTGAAAGTTTCTGGAATCAGGATTAGAACCAGTAGACTAGAGAGAAGCTGGGCTGAGGAACTGAGGCTTGGGGTTACTTAAGGTCAAGTGGCCCCAGGGTTACTCGAGGTCACTGGTGCAAGGGAAAAACCCTGGTGGCAAGGAGGAGACATCCAGGAAAGAAACTGAGGCAGAAACCTTGGGGTTTGGGGCTGGAAACTGAGGCTGGGAGCTTGGGGCTGGAAACAGAGACTGGCAGTTGGGAGTCTGGGGGGCAGATAAGTGGTGGCAAGGAGGAAACAGTCAGAAAACAGACAAAAACCCAACTCGGAGTTTCAAAATAACAGGTTTTTTAAACAGAAAACACACTACACAGCCCCATGAAGTTATTGGTTCCCACATATATACATAAGTACTCACAATGGCAAAAGGAGAAAGAGATTCAGTGGAAGGGTTGGAGTCCAGGTAGGGAAGAGAAACAAGAGTCCAAGTCCTTGGTTGAAGAGAGGGTGGGGGAGATAGCTACCTATCAAGGCTGGAAAGGGGTCTTTGTCCAGCAGGTGTTGTCCAGAGGGGGGTCACCGGCAGGGCCTCTGGGTTGATAGGTGGTGTGGCATGGTGCTGGTCCAGATGGAGAGGGTGTCCCAAGGAGTCAATCTTCACTACCCCTTTTTATGGGGAAGACTACCTATGATCTCCTATGGGGAGGACATGTCCAGAACATGTCAGTCCTGTTCCAGAGGGTTCCAGGTGTTCATACGGAGCATGTGCAGCCTCGGTACAATGGTGGGTTGCCTCATCTTTTGTTTCTTGAATGCTGAGGGTGGTTCTAATAGCTGGGTCATTGGTCCAGGTATTGGTTTTGATGGCTCAGTCATTCAGAAGGAGCTAGTTTTAGACCTACTGCCATCGTCTCTCAAGCGCCCTCCTTCATCCCCATTCATTCAGGAACCAAGTTACATAGGAGGGGTAGTATGAGTCATAGGTTCCACAACAGGGCATGAGGACAAGATAGAGACTTGACAAACAAAATGGAAACTTGACATGACTTATGCTAACTTACCTAAATCATACAGTATCAGTAAAACAGTAATATAGAATGGTAAAAATCAATATAAACATAATAATTATACAATATAAAGGAGAAAAAACAAAAGAAATACAACTTGCTACCAAACTAAAATGCTGAAGCTTATCCTATGTCTTAGATCACTTATACTTATCTATAGGGAATAGAGAGGGAGAGAAAAAGTCAGAAATGGTTGGGGAAGGGGAGGGAATGCATTTTAAAATTTTTTGAAAAAAGAAAAACTGGGGGTTTTGCTACACTAGCATACACAGAGTTGCAGTAATATGCAGTAATTTCACTGATGTTGATGGGAGCAGCATATATAAATTGCTTAGTGCAGTAAAAGTAACCACTAGCTTCTCTGAAACAAATTTTTAAACCTATGCAGTAGGGCTGTGCAAAGCCTTGGTAGCCGATTCAATTCAGAGGAGATTCGGCCCAATTCGGCAGCCAAATCTCCAAATCCAAATAGAACTGGAAGACCCTTTAAAAGAGCTGTGAATCAAACTGGAAGCCTCCAAATCAATTCAGAAAAGATTCAACGCCGATCCGGAGATTCAGTCATAAACTAAAGAGGAAGCAGTCCTCGAGGATGCTGGACACAGCTGCCTCCAGCTGGGAAGTCTGTTGTGGTGGGTGGAGCGGGGAGGGAAGGGGCATGGGCGGGGTAGATCAATCACCCCACAGGGAGGGAGGGATTGGGACTGGGGGTGGGACAAGCTGCCCAGCCAGGGCAGAGGGGCACAGGACTGGGGGAGTGGGGCTCCTGCCACTGCATACCACCGTGTGCTGTTGGTCCGGGGGGGCATGGGAGTGGGTGTCTGGCCCCAGAGCTGCGTGGGGTAGGCTAGGCCAGGCTGCGCTCTGCAGGTGGTGGAATGCGCTGGGAACAGGAGCTATGCCTCCTGCTGCTCACCCAGCCTTCCCATGCCTCCCAGACAAGCCGTGGCTTTGCCTTGGCTGGGTGAGCAGCGGCAGGGCATGATGGTGGGTGCTGATCAGGGATCAGGGAGGGGCTGGCAGCACAAGTTATGGGGAATTTTAGGGTGGCTGCAGCCCTCCCATAGACCCCGGTCCGCTGCGCTCTACAGGGCAGGTGGAGCCAGGGCTGTGCTCCAAGTGGATATGGGCCTGGCCCAGCCTGCCCCACACATACTCCAGGGCAATACACCCACTCCCATGCCCCCCCCCCCCCGGACCAACAGCACACGGCAGCATGCAGTGGCAGAAGCCCCGTTCCCCCAGTCCCGCACCCCTCTGCCCTGGCTGGGCAGCTTGTCCCAGCCCCAGTCCCAATCCCTCCCTCCCTCCCTGCGGGGTCATTGATCTGTCCCCCCTCCATGCCCCTTCTCTCCCCCATCTGCCCTCCACAACAGACTTCCCAGATGGAGGCAGCTGTGTCCAGCATCCTCAAGGACTGTTGCCTGTTAAATCTATGTCCAAATCTCCAAATAGGCGTCAAATCTTCAAATCCAAATCAGCCAAACCAAATTGGGACGGTGATTCAAATCAGAATCAAATCACTGTCCCTCTGAATAGTCTGAATCCAAATCTGAACTGAATACTTGCTGCTTTGCACATTCCTACTATACAGCTCTTGTGCACTCTAGTAAATGAGTACTTCTTCATTGAATAACTTTAGTCTGGATTCAGCAAAGTATTTAAGCACATATTTAATCCCACTATGTGCTTCAGCTCTGTTTTAAATAGGGCTGCCCATGTGAATTGGAGGTCAAGTACTAGAAGATTGTGTTTTAATATTAGAGTTTCACATACTGTACTTGCTTTAACATACTTTTTAATATATATGAATGAATGGCACTTCATATATGACTTGATATGATTATACTGCATATTGTTGTCTGGACGCTATTTCACATTTCATAAACCCCAGTGTTACCAACACTTCAGGTGAAGTACAGAAAAGTCTGCTTCATAAAACAGAATCTGTGGGTCTCATCCTTCTAACTTCTGTGAGGAGCCTATTTATGAAAATTGTGCCATGGCAACCTACTAATTCCTTTGAAATATTTGGCTAAGTACAGGCATAAGGGTTTGAAGGATTGAAACTTTGTTTTGCAAACAAAATAATATAATTAATGAATTTAGGACAATTGTGTAGATTAAGAAAAAGGAACAAAACATACATGTTATAAAACATTGGTTTCATAATCTAATACAATGAGTGTGGGTAGAATATATATAGCAAGCCCAGGTAATGTTGTTTTTAAGCTCAAACATAAAACTGGAAAATATAATTAAACAAGAACATAGATACAATATTTAATTAGTATCTGCAGTAGCATTCTATAACATTCCAATAATAGCCCATATTCTCATACCTGGGAATAAAATTAAATACAGGGTTGCTCAGATATCCCATGATAATAATGGTACAAGAATTTAGTTTGATTAGATAAGATAAAAAGAACAGAGCAGGAGAGGAGGAGAAAAAGAAAAACAGACAAATATATTGGGGAACAAAGCCAAAAGTGTCATTCTCTCAAGTCAGTGGTTTTCAAGCTCTGGTCTGTGGACCCTTGCAGTCAACAGACTATGTCTAAGGGGTCAACAAAAGATTATTATGATTATTCAAAAGTATTTGAATACCCACACCTAACATTAAAATGGGTCTGCACCTCCATTAAATTTTTTTTAGGGGGCTGCAAATGAAAAAAGGTTGAAAACCACTGGTCTAAGTGTTCAGAGACCATGATGATGGGTGCAGGATTAACAGACATTCAAACAGCTTCTGTTACATTTAATATAAAAATATTTGTTTGGAAAGGGATTTTTAATCTTTAATACTATCTTAGATAGCATCTGAGAGTGCTGTTACTGCCCTGATAACTCCACTGGTATTTCAAAGTATTCTTTGGCTAAATCCTCCTGGTCTTACCCATGGAAACCATCCCATTGAAGCTACAAGGCAAGGCTAATAAGTTTTTTACCATTAAGTCACTAGGATTCACATTCACTGCATTGTTCCTACCTCAAAATCAAGATTGTAGACATCTAAAGTATCTTGCTATTGATTTGCAACTTGGAATGCTCTGTTTCTTTTTTGTCCCACATATTTGTCCATTTGCTTGTGTATTGTTTCTAACACTGTCAATTTACAAGGAGATGCAACTTGAGAGGTGCTTATTTCCTCAGGATTACTACTCACTTGGACTACATTGTTAGTTGCAAGTGCTCAGCATTACTGAGAGGGGCATGTCAGGAGCAGGTGTGGTACACTTGAAGCATCCATTTACTCAGCTGATCTTTGGGCAGTTTTAGCCATTGCAAATAAGGATAGCATTTAAACTCCTCTGAGTTATACCAAGTGTTGATCTGGTCCTTGATCAGCTAAAGTGATGGATATGAACTTAGCACAATTGAGGATGAAGTTCATACTTTTAGAATGCAACAATAGCTATAAAAAATAATTTAAGTGGAAACAGGATCAGATGCTGAACAGGGTGATTATATATTAAACTAACCAAAATAGGTCACACATACCTATACTGTGAAGGTGTGAAAGAAACTTGATACTAGAGGAAATATAATGGAAAAAAGAGAGAAAAAAAAGGACTATTTTTTTTCAATAAACTGAGTTGTTTGGGTTCAGGTCAGCTTCAGACTACAGAACACGATGATGGAGCAAGTTGACCTTCTCAGGCATAGACATGATTTCTCAAGCAAATTAACCTTTTTCTCACCTACAGACAGAACAACAAAAACAAAACAAAAAACCCATAAATCAACTGGTAAGCCTGTTATTTTAGAAAAGACATAGAATAGTGAAATAAATTCTTCCAATATACCTTTGCATCATTCATATAGACAGAAAAACAATTACAAAGTAAATCAGATCCCTTCTTTAATTGATTACATTCTGAAGCCCTCTCTTAAGAAAAGTTGCTGTACAACCAGCCAATATTCAAATTGCTGGCTCTGGCAAAAAATATGCCTTCCCTTGGTTTTTTTTAATTCTCCTCAGCAATCTCAATATTATGTGAAAACAGACAAACAAATAAAAACCTTTGTAATTACCTTTTTCCAAATTAAGACATCCAGATATTGTGTTTTAGGTTATCATAGTAAAGCAACTATGTTACACTTCATAGGAAAAAGAAGTAGATGCAGCAAATTCCTAGTTTTGTTGTTTGCAAAGTACTGTGTAACTTTCTTAAAGGGAAAGAGAGAGACTTTTGAGCAACAGTAACTATGGCTCATCACATCTCGAGACAAATCTACAGAAATGTCAATAAGGATGTGAATTTCAGTATCCTTAGTACAAAATCTGTGCCTTGTGTGGTGAAACAAGCTAGCAGAAGAATGAAAGCAGCAGGTTGGAATTAAAACCCATCTTGTTACCTCAGTGGTCAGTCTTGGCAATGGTCCAATATTCAACACACAGGTTTAATATGAGCAGGGCTAGAGAATTAGATTCTAACATAAAATCAAGATAGATTTGCAACAGAACATAATGTTTATGCAAAGCCAAACCAAATTAAAGTTTGGTGAAGTCTGTGACTTTCAATGACTAACATACATGAGAACACCTGCCTGTGGAGTTGATGGGGCAACCCATTTGTTCAAGTTAATATATTGAAGGAATCCACAATTCCAGGCTTTTCTCCTGGATCACAGTCCATGTAGTTCAGGTCTAATTTTCTACATACTCTTCTGTACTAACTAGCTGTTACTATGCTGAGACTAAGAATATTTTAGCATTAAGCTCTAAAACCCATAGAAAATACATTGCAATGACAACACAGACACACTCTGACAGCAAAGTCTTTGAAGTTGACTATAAACAGAACTATTTTCAGTTCTTTGCTATGGAGTTTTCTCTGCAGAAACTATTGCTCCTTTTTGAAGACTCTAACCTGTACACTGCCTACGGTATGTAGCACTGGAATGGATTAAAGATTAATTGCACTTTCCAACACATATAACATTGCAGTTTCACTGTAGGCCTCATAGCAGAGCTGCTGTATCTTGATAGCACATTATGGGGGAAAATGAGGTTGAAGTCTGACTCCATTCTTAACTTCTGAAATGATTTGAATGTAAAAATTGTATTCAAATCTATTCCTAATTAAGAGCTGTTTTTTTGTGAAAAGGTTCATATTTCTAGACCTCGGTGCTTTAAAAGCTGTGGAAATGTGTAGATTTTAACACTCAACTAGCCTAGTCATGAGTAAATTGGCTAACTTATGAAACCCCCATTTTGTGCATTGATCTTTGAGTCTAGAATTTGAAGAGGTGCTTTTTCATCAAGCCTGTTTCAAAGCCCTAAGAGATTCTGCTTTTAAAAATCTGAAAGAGTAAAAAATCTTCAAGGTCAATGTTGCCAATGCTTAAGTGCTGCAGTAGGGGTGAACTAAAAATTAAAGCTTGCAGACATTAAAAAAAACAAAACCCAAAATACACACTACACTGGAAAAAGCAGTGTGTTAATTCAACCCAGCTCCACAGAATCTGTATAGTTCAAGTGCTTCAGCAGGGCTTTTTGGCATTTCTATCTAAACCTGATTCAATCATCTATTAGATAAAAGTGCCAAAAGAGCCCCACTAAAGTGCCCAATCTACACAGATATTAGGCAAGCCAGGTCCAACTAACATGCAGCATCTTCTGGGCATGAATTGGGCTCCGCGTGGAAGGCGCTAAGTTTAAAGTGCCACTTTTTTTAAAAATGTGCAACCACCCTTAGTGTTGTATAACTTGCATGCTAGCCACATAATCTGCAAGTTCAAACAATAGCTTATGCAGTGTATTATGCAGCTGTGGAAACCTCCCACTTTTTTCCTGCATGTCATGGGGTGCATCTACATGTTCAAATAATCTGGAAGCAGTTTACTCTTGAGTAAACTACTCAAAAGTAAACTCTCCCAGGCACGTATCTATACATACAGGGACACAGAGGAGGATTTGCTGCTCCTAGCAGCAGACTGCTCCTGCTCCTGATGGCCCTGCAATGAGCCCCTACAGCAGCCAGGGCGAGCTCTGTGCTCCCCCAGGGTGCTAGCCCAGGGGCCAGGAGACAGCTGTCTCCTGGTGGGAGCTGGGACATTGTTCCCTACCCCTGGGATCTGCCTGCTGCCAGGGCAAGCTCCACCACCAGAGCCCAAGCAGGGAAAATGTCCCCCTGCCCTGGCAGCAGGGAGCTCCCAGCCCCAGCTCTGAGGTCATGGTGCCAGTGCTGGGAGATAAGGCTCTCCCAGAACTGGCTCCGCAGTCATGGGGCTGGCATATCTCCTAGCCTCAACCCCCCCAACTGCGGGGCTCGGGCTGGTAGATAAGGATCTCCCACCACCCAGCCCCGTGTTCATGGAGTGGGGACTGGGAGCTCCCTGCTGCCAGGTGGAGGGAAACATTGCCTCTGTTCTGGATCCAGTGACAGAAACCTGGAGGAGCAAGTGAGGGAACTCAAGGAGGTGTTGAACAGGCTAAGGGGGATCAGGGAGGATGAGGCTGTGATTGACAAGTACTTCCATTCCTTACAGCTCCAGATGCCTACAGGTGAAACCTCACAACAGGAATCTGCAGCAGGGGAGTGAACGACTGTCACCTCCAGACCCGGGTGACAGGACCTGGCATCTGCTTCCCCACTGCGTCTGGGGAACAGGTACGGGGCCCTGGCAGCCTTGGTGGAGGAGACAGAGGAGGAACATTCTCTAGTAGAGGAGGCAGCAGAGGAACATTCTCCAGCAGAGGAGGATACAGAGGAAGTGGTCCCTGCAGCCACCGCCCAGGCAGAAGCAGAAATGCCGAGTTATTGTGGTAGGCGACTCAATCCTGAGAGGCACGGAAGGGCCGATCTGCTGACCAGATCCCATAATGAGAGAGGTCTCCTGCATGCCTGGAGCTAAGATCAGTGACATCATTGCAAGGATTCCTAAACTCATCAAGCCCTCTGAATACTACCCCATAGTCCTTGTCCATGTGGGAACTAATGATGTGACTGGGAGTAGTCTGGACCACATCATGAAAGACTTCCACGAGCTGGGGGTCAGCCTCAGGAAGTCAGTGGCACAGGTGGTATTCTCCTCCTTCCTTCTAGTTGGCAGCAGCCGAAAGCGCCATGATGCCCGCATCAGAGAAGTCAACTAGTGGCTCCAGAGATGGTATTTCAGGAGGGATTCAGATTCTGAAACCACGACTAGCACTTCCAGGGAGAAGGCTTCCTAGGATGGGACGATCTTCATCTGTCTCCTAGAGGTAAGCATCTTTTCTCTTGCAGGTTGGCTGATCTCCTCCAAAGAGCTTTAAACTAGGTTCAACGGGGGGCAGGGAACCAGCGGTTGATGAGAACTCAAGAGCTGGAAAGCCACAAACAAGGCACCTGAACTAACCAGGTAAGCACCAAGGGGAACACACGCCATCAAGGTAAAGGAAGACCAAGAACACCCACTGAGGGCTCAAATATCTTTTCACAAATGCCAGGAGTGTGGGGAACAAGCAGGAGTAACTCACACTCCTGCTTGCTAGCACACAGTATGAGCTAGTTGGCTTAACTGAAACATGATGGGATTCTACGTATGACTGGGTGGTAGGCATTGAGGGGTACAGGTTGTATAGACAAGACAGAGTGGGGAGAAAAGGCGGGGGTGTAGCTCTCCATGTTAAGGAGCAGTACACATTTTCCATCATCAAGGCAGGAATGGAGGAGGGGAATACTGCGGCATTATGGGTCAGGATCCAGGGGGGGCCAGGGGAAAAGGACTTGATAGTGGGGGTCAACTGCAGACCTCCTCACCAGGATGAATAGCTAGATGAGGTATTCTCCAAGCAGCTTTCAGATGCCATACAGGCAAGGGAGGCAGTGGTCATGGGGGACCTAAATTACCCAGACATCAGCTGGGAGGAACAAGCAGCCAAAAAGAGCTGCTCAAGGAGGTTCTTACACTGTGTGCAGGACCTCCCCCTGACCCAGATGGTGTCCAGTCCCACCAGGGGCAGTGCCTTGCTAGACTTGGTCTTAGCAACAGGAGATGATCTTGTGGGAGACCTGTGGGTACACAGTAACCTGGGTGATCGTGACCACCACTTGGTAGAGTTCACTATCCAGTGAAGGGTGAGAAAAATATCCAGTGATGCTAAAGTTTTAGACTTCAGAAAGACCAACCTTAGTTAACTTAGGAACCTAGTTAGTGAGGTGGCTGAACTCAAGAGCTAATGGGGGTCCAAGAGGGTTAGAAGTTTCTCAAGGGAGTGATCCTTGGGGCTCTTCAATGAGTTCTTCGCTTCAGTATTCCTCAATACTAACCAAGACAGTCCCCCCACCTTGAGCATAGACAGATGTCCAGAAGGCACCAGACTGCCAAAGGTTAGTGCTGACTTAGTTAAAGGGCACTTGGAAGGGCTGGATGGGTACAAGTCAGCTGGCCCAGATGACCGCTATCCATGGGTGCTGAAGGAATTGGTCAGTGTCATTGCTGAGCCACTGGCATGGCTGTTTGAGCTCTCATGGTGCTCCAGACAGGTCCCTGAGGACTCGAAAAAGGCCAACGTGGTGCCCATTTTTAAGAAGGGGAGAAGGGAGGAGGCTGGGTAACTTTAGGCCAGTCAGTCTTACCTCTATCCCTGGAAAAATACTAGAAAAATCATCAAAGAGAGTATTTGTGAAAGCCCAGCAAGGGAAAGGATGCTGAAGGAAACCAGCACAGGTTTGTTACAGATAAATCCTTTTATGACAAGGTCACACACTGCCTTTACACAGGAGCGAAGGCCGATGTCATCTACCTGGATTTTAGGAAGGTCTTCGACACAGTTTCGCATTCTATTCTCATAGAGAAGCTAACAGGATGCCTACACAGTCAGGTGGGTGGCTAACTGGCTTAGGGACCACACCCAGAGAATGGTGGTTGACGGGTCATTTTCAACCTGGAAGGAGGTGGGCAGTGGGGTCCCACAGGGTTCGGTCCGTGGGATGGTGTTATTTAATATCTGCATCAGAGATTTGGATGAGGGAGTGGTGAGCACCCTCTCTAAGTTCACAGATGATACCAAATTATGGGGCAAAGTTAATACACCAGAGGGCAGGGAGCAGTTACAGGCTTACTTGGATAGGTTAGATCAATGGGCAGAACGAAACAGGATGCAATTCAACAAAGATAAATGTAAGGTACTCCACCTAGGAAGGAGGAATCCTCAGCACACCTACAGGTTGGGGGAGGTCCTCTTCAGCAGCTCAGAGGCTGAGAGAGATCTTGGAGTCATAGCTGACTCCAAGACGAACATGAGCAGGCAGTGTAAGGAGGCCATCAACAAAGCCAATTGCACCTTGTGTTTTAGCAGATGCGTGACCAACAAATTGAGGGAGGTAAGGCTCCCCCTCTATGCAGCATTAATCAGGCTGCAGTTGGAGTACTGTGTCCAGTTTTGGGCACCGCACTTCAAGAGGGACATGGAGGATCTGGAAAGGGTTCAGAGGAGGGCCACTCACATGATTAGTGGTCTCCGTGAAAGACCCTACAAGGAGAGGTTGGGAGATCTAGATCTCTCCAGCATATAAAAAAACAGCTGAGGTGTGACCTTGTAGCCGCCTATAAATTTATCAGGGGAGGATAGCAGGGAATTGGGGATGCGCTGTTTTTCAGAGCACCCCAGAGAGTAACTAGAAATAATGGGTGCAAACTAGTGGAGCGTAGATTTAGGTTAGACATTAGGAAGAATTTTTTTACAATAAGGGTGGCCAGAGTCTGGAACGGACTTTCAAGAAAGGTGGTGCCATCACCTAACTTGGAGGTCTTCAAGAGGAGGCTTGACAATCACCTGGCTGGGGTCACCTAACCTTGGTCCTCTTTCCTGCTAGGGGCAGGGGGTTGGACATGATGATCCATTGGGTCCCTTCCAACTCTATAATCTATGAATCTATGAAACCCACCCTGGCAACAGCCAGCATCCGGGAGCAGAGAGCAATCTTCGGCCCCCATCTGCTCAGCTCAGCAGGAGCACATTTATTCCTGGTCAGGCATCTGCACATGCGCTATCACGCAGTAAGTAATCTCAAGTAAAGTTGCCACTTGCATTTGCAGGTAGCAAATTTACTCACAATTAGAGCCAATTACTGTGCACTAAGCATCTGCACATGTAAATGCTGACACTTACTGTACAGTAATTAGCTCTACTGTGCAGTAAAGCATCTTGTGTGGATGTGCCCACAATTTACTGATCTACACTGACCTAATGTTCCTTCACCCTTTGTTCTGCTTTCTTGTCCTAGTCACATCTCCATTCTCTCAGTGCACCTGGTCTGCTCTTTCCAAATGCTTAAATGTTTTCTAGCTTCTCCCTGATTCACTCCTCCAAGTGAAGTGCCTCTCGTTGCTACAGAAGTGGGTGAGCTTCTGAAGGATTTTACATAGCATTACCACTGCCCTTTCTGTCCAAGGAGCTTGAACATAGAAGACTGAAATCATCACTGTATTACTTCAGGTTTCACTGTTGTAACTCCAACAACCGTATATTAAATAGTCCCACGTTTTGTAGATAAAGAAAATCTTCTGCACCTTGGCTAATTTAATAACAAATAAGTTATGGGTATAGGGAGTCAAGATCTATGGAGAACTAGGTGGGGATAACCCTAACAGTTCATGACTGTATTTATAGCAATCCTAAATCAAAATACAAAACAACTGGGTCTAGCATCTGCTGTTTAAAAAGGCAGTCCTCACATTTCTTTAATAATGCTATAGAATTTTAGGTTTTGGTTCTGCTGAATCAGTCAGGTTGTTGCTCTTTCTATGTCCTCTGTTCCATTTCTTCTATGACCTGAGGTGGTATGAACTCTTGTCTAACAGCTCTCCTAATTATATACTTGCTTCAATAAAAAATATGACCAAACAAATCTTGCTTCTGGCATATTCCCTGGACCACCAGAGCTCCAACACTATATTTATTCTCAATAGATTACTAAAGCAATTATATTTGTATACCTCTTACTTGTTGCCAGTGGTCTTGCCTGCCATATGGGATGTCTCCAAGATTTAAAGTGACAGTCACTCTCTCAATAGGACTTTTTCAAAGTTATGGTGCTTATTGTAAATAGTCTGCTTAAATAAAAACCAAGTGCAGAAGCCATTTTTTTCATTAACATCTGTGAACCTATTATGATAGTAAGATATTAGAAGGCCAGCCTTTCACACCTGATTCTGAACATTCTCCCAAGGATCTTACTGCACTTAATATTAAATGCTGTCATTGATCTAGTGAGATTTTGTCTAAGTCATGATTAGGTTTGTAAAGACAAATATTTTTAAAATGGTCAGCATAGGCTTTTCTCATTTAAATAATAATCACCAAGATTACTAAAATTCATTTTACTGTCTTGATTGAACTTGAACTTTCTTCTCATATTGGGCTATTCATATTCATAAAGACATGGATGGGTAAATTCACTTTTAGTGGACATCCTTAGAGGCTCTACATTCTGTAAAGTGTTACAGTCTAAGATTTTTTACAGACAAAACTAATAATTTTGGGGCCTGGTTTACCAACATTCCAGAGTTCCCATTCCCAGGCCCCTGTTATTATGCTTCAAGCCAAACACTAAAAAACCTTAAATCACTGTACTACACCCATTTTTATAAAATGTTTCTGATAGTACTGGAACAGCTCCCCATAGAAATACCACCAGGGTCCATTTGTTTGTAAGCTCCTTGAGCAAGGATCAGCCATTTTGTTCTATGTTTGCACAGTATCCAGTAGGCCTGTGTGAATAGGGAAGTATTTGATTCAGATTCAGATTTGGCCCCATCCAATTTGGCCAAATCAGAATTGGAGATTCAGCGCTGATTTGGAGATGCAGAACAGCTGGGGAGGCACAGTTTGGTGGCTGCAGGTTCTCCCATGGCTCCTCCAGCTGTGCCTGCCTATCCCTGGGCAGGGGGAGCCACTGGAGAAGCCCCCACAGCTGTCCTGCCCAGCCCCAGCCTAGTCCCAGCACTTAAAAAAAAAGCCCTGCACTCACTGGCTGCAGCAGTGGTGACTGGGGCCCCTGGACACTTGTGACAGAGCCCCCCTGTGCAGCATAGGGCAGTGGGGGGGCAGTAGGGATGCCCCCCCCCTCACCAGGTGCCCATGCAGCAGTTGCCCCATGACGCAGGTCCAGCATGGTTCAGGAGGGTGCCATGTGCTGTCTGGGATCTGGGTCTTCTGGGCCTGAGTGGTGCCGGACTCCAGCTGACTGCCAGAGCTGCCCCAGCTCCCAGACAGTGCATGGTGCCCTGCTGAGCCATGCTGCACCCACACCATGAGGCAGCTGCCACACAGGTGCCAAGCATGGGAGGGAGATCCCCACTGCCCCCACTGCCCCATGCTGCATGAGGGGGCTCTGCCACGATCCCTCAGAGGCCCTCATTGCTGCTGCCAGAACTGGTGAGTGCGGGGCTTTTTTTCTTTTTTTTTTAAGTGCCAGGAGGCTGGGCTGGGCAAGGGATGGGACTGGGCAGGGCAGCCATGGGGGTTTCTCCCATGACTCCTCCAGCTGTGCCTGCCTCTGCCCCAGTGGGGAAAGCCACAGGGGCTATGCCCTGCTGCCACTCACCCAGCCAGCATGGCAGGGGGGGAAGGGCATGATGCAGGCTTGGCTTGCTCTGGGCAGGAGCAGAGAATAGTGCCCACTCCCAGCACTGCCAGGCCCACATCAGCACTGGGAGGGGGGCTCTGCCCTGCCACTGCTTGCCAGCTGGTGTGAGGGGTGTGGGATGCAGGCACATCAGCACTGGGAGTGGGGGGCTATGCCCTGCTGCCACTTGCTCCCTTCCACCTGGAGCGAGCTGCGCCTGCATCATGCCCCCTTCTCACCACCCCGGCTGGGCAAGCAGCAGCAGGGCAGAGCCCCCACTCCAAGCACTGCTGCATCTGCATCCTGCATCCCCCCACCTCCTCCCCATGTAATGTGCCCCCCCTCACCAGCTTGGCAGCTTGTCCCAGCCCGAACCCCAACAGACTTACCAGTTGGAGGCAGCTGTATCAGCTGCCTGTTTAGTCTCTGGCCGAATCTCCAAAGCAGCCGAATCCTTTCCAAAGCTTTTCCAAAACAATTCGGATGCTTTGAATCAATTTGGAGCTTTTAATTGGTCTCCTGATCTTATTTGGATTTGGAGATTCAGTTCCTGAATAGGGCTGAATCTCCTCCAAATTGAATCAGCTACCAAAGCTTCATACAGCCCTAGTATCCAGCACAATGCAGTTCTTGTCCTTAAGTGGAGGTACTACTTCCATACAAATAATAGGTAGCGGGCTCAGTGCATTACAGAACTTCATATAGACACTTGCAATCTGCTTCAGACAATTCGAGTCCTTATAAAATAGACTTACTTTAATTGGGAAATGTTTAATATCAGTCAAATTATAAATGCAGATACAACCATATTTGTTTTCTTAGCAGATAATGACTAATTTTGATTTACAGGGAATGGAATAACTTTACTCAGTATGATCTGCACAGTCCTTGTCATACATTTACCCTCAGAACTTGTTTTCATTTACTGTTTAATCTTTTTTTTCCAATTATAGCTTTTGTACTATTGTTTAGAGGAACTTATACACTGGGTTACATAGAGTGCCTCTCCAATTTTCTCTCAGCCTCTGCTTTGAATTGCCTGTTCTTATCTTCTAATTAAAATGACACATGGTGGTCTGGATTGAAATCCTATTGAATTAAATGACACAAGGTGGTCTGGAGTGAAATCTGACAGAGTGCAGCCAAATTTGGAAATATTTTAAGTGTCAAGTTACTGATTTTAGATCTTGGTGTACTTTAGCTCAGGTGGCTGTTGAACTAATAACTAGAAGATACCAGCCAATAGCCACCAGTGAGAGTGCTAATTCTTCTATTAGAGAAAGTTTATCATGTGAAGCCTTTACGCTTAGATTGGCAAAGATCCTATATAGTATTTAAAAATGTATTTGCTCAACTAAATGAATAAGAATTAAATAAAGAGAAAGATACACTTTGTGCTAAAAGCTTTCCTGTACAGTACAGTATAATAAATGGTAAATGAAAGCTAGTCAAGTAAATAAAATATATTACTTCTGTTTTTGCATTTGAATTAATTATACAAAAAATAGGTTATAGGGATTTTTGTTTCCTAAGGGGAGAATGTGTTTGGTCAAAGCATTTTAATGAAATAATTCCTTTTCAGCCAAAAGAAAAATGGGGAAAACCAGAAACTTTGTTTTGGTTGGCATTTTTCCTTTTAGATAACAACAACAACAACAACAACGATAATAATACAGTAGTTTTGTTTTCATTTAACCTCCCCCCTTTTTTACTACTTTTTTCTTTTTCTTTTATTGATAGTCCTGTGAGGGTTGGGGGGAAAAAGAATAAAACATCAAATAATCAGAAACTGATTTTTGTGGTTTCAAATTTGTCAATAATCGAAAGTCTCCAACAAAAATGTCTAGCAGAATAAAGCATTTTCTGCTAGAAAAAGCCCACAGAAAAGATAAAGCATTTGTAATATAATTGCTTAGAGATTATAAATAATGAACACATGTAATTGATATAGAGAGAAGAAAAATAACCTTATGCGAAAAAAAAAAACCTTAGGCAGACCGTCAAAACCATGAAAGTAACAGGAAGGTCATTCAACGGAGTTTTGTTTCTGGTTTTTTCCCAGACTGCACCTCCCTTGTCTACTAATGCAAGAAACATAAGAAAAAAATAGAAGAACAGGAACAATATACATTCAGGAAACATCAGCACTCTAAATCTATTTAAAATATACTGATAATCATTCATAAATTGAGTAGGAAAGAGTAAATTCAAGTGAGATGGGAGTTTTCATGGCATTGAGGTAAGAGAAAATCATCCTACATGAAAAACAAGGTCTGGAAATTACTAAGAGCTGGTTTAAAGTACCAGGTACTGCCTAACAGTATGAGTGAGCTCCAGGTTTCTAAAACTAAACTGGTTCTGTATTAAGAGACGTTGCAATAGCCAGTAGATTCCAGCCAGGCACATACATACTAGCATCCAGGTAACTCCTCTAAACTCTTTCCTCCTTTTGCCAAGCTGTGCTCCTTGCTCCAAGTTTCTTGCAGATTGTTACTTCTTTCTTAACTCTCCCTTGAGAATTCTTGCCTAAATGTGCTGACTTGCCAGGGCCGGAGGTTACATAGCTCGCCAGAGGGTCTTTACAGCTGGGCCAGTGGTAGACTCATAGCCATTCAAGTATGACGTTTTCTGACCAGTCTACTGTTCCTGCTTATCTATGATGTTAGGATTATGTTACAGCTAGTTTCACTATCCAACTCAAATCCAATTGTTCGTTGTGTTAGGATTATGTTACAGCTAGTTTCACTATCCAACTCAAATCAAATTGTTCATTGATCTAGTAGTTGAAATATGTTAATTGAATATGAACATTAAACTGCCTGTATACTAGAAACCTTTGCATCTACTCAAGTCACGCTACAGACATCCTCCTCTTTCCTGGAAGTCTGTGTGTCAAGCACTGCTCATAACACTTATTTTTTTCTTCTGGGATAGTTATGGCATTAGGCTATAAAGGGGTTCTGTATTTTCATGCTTCTTCTAACATTGCCCATAGGGTGGATTTCTTCAGCCTTCCTTGTTACTTCCTACAGTATATGCACTGGAGCTTGGCTTGCCTTAGATTTGCGTCTTGGGTTCCTTCAGTTTAATCCCTCATTCTCTTCCACCACTAGCAACAGTCATTATTTTGCAATTTTCCCTGGAAATTTTGGCTGCCTTTGGACTTGAGCACATCCTTGTAATATTAGAATTGTTTCTCTCAATAATCTCTTCTCTTAGCTATAATCATATGTCTTATAAAGGATCCTGTCTCTAATTAAAAAATGTTTGTTTCTCCTTAACCTGCAAAACTTGTCATCAAGAGCATCTTCCCAATATGCAAATGAACCTTTGCACAGAGCTTCTGCTGCTTTTGATCCCCAGTGCAATAGACAAAGCCTTACCCATTATTTATTCCTTTATTACTTTTGGGCCGAACTTGTCACCTGAAGCATGGACCCCATTTCAGAACTAAAGAACAGTACTTATGATGTAAAGGAGCAATTAAGGCTGTAACAAAGTTCATAAAGGAGTGAAATTAACATAATGAAGAGATGGGAAGGAAATAAAAAAAGCACTGAGGGACAGAAAATACAACCTTGTAGGTATGGAATATCTTAATTTCCTGAAGATATTTCCAGCCCTCAAAGCAGGAAAGCATTTAATCACATATTTAAGAGATTATTCATGTATTCAAAGTTAAGCACATGCTGAAGTACTTTGCTAGGCCACCATCATAATGAAACTAAAGCTGGGAATGGAAAAATGAGCAACAAATTTGTGGACATTGCATATGATTGTTTCCTTACATTGCCTACCATGATGGAGTCCTGGACAAGGATTAGGGCTCCTAGGTGCTATAATAATACAAATAGCAATAAAAATCACACACTTTGTAAAATAATAGTAACTACAATAAGGACTAATTTTTGTAAGAATCTTGTAACAATGCTAAGGCTAGTGTTGTAAAAAAGGGGGAGAATGAGTTAAACAACAAGTATTATAATTTAGTTAAGGATTGGGATTAATGTTCAACTAAGAAGCTGAAAAAAATCAGGTAGATTGGATTTCAGCAGAGCAAAATTTGGTAGAAGGCAGGAAGTGCAGGGTGAAATTGAACAGGATAAAGTAATGGAGAGAAAGGACACAGAGGGGAAATGGAAAGTGTTCAAAGATAAATTAATGTATGCCCAAGGGTTATGCATGCCATCTAGCAATAATTGCACAAGGAGGTTTTTTCAAAGAGCTAGTGTGAAGGAACAGAGAAGTGTAAAAGTAATCAAGGGTGAGAAAGAGACAGACACGAGTTATAAAACTTCAAATGCGAGCAGGTTTGGAATGATTGCATAATGAAGTTAAGAGAGCATAAAAAGTGATAAGAAAAGCATAGGTAGAGAATGAAAGGAAACTTTCACAAGAGGATAAAATGAAATATAACAGAATTTTCTGGTGCTATATGGAAACAAGATGAGGCTAGCAAAGTAGATCATAGGATCTCTTAGAACTACAGAAGGGCAAAGT